CCGGGCAAGCTCCTGAGGCCGCTGACCCCACAGAAGCTGCCTGGCGACTCGGACGCTGCTTCTCCGCCTCAGGGCCGCCGGGCCACGTTTTCAATGAAGGTCCCTGTTTATCTGCAGACACGTAACACTCGACGCCCGGCGACAGGCCCCCGCACCCGCTCACGGTGCATCTTCCTCCGTGCGCTCACCGCCAGCCTCTGTGGGTTTGCATTTTATGGGAGGCTTACAGGCGACGTCGGGTCGTTGATAACCCCACCTGACGCTCCTGGTCCTTTCGCTGGAAATGCCCGGCGTTCGCCCGCCCGCCGGGTGCTGTCCCCTCCCCCGTTTCCTTCCGGCTAAGGGGGCTGCCGTCCTCTCGCGGCACCCTCCGCAAGCGTGTGGGCGCCGCACCCCTTTGCTGTTCCTCAGCGGCTGCCTGAGGCTCTAGAGCGCACCCCGGCCCCATCGGCCTTGGCCTCCGACGGGCACTCGTGCCCTCGCCTGACGACGCCCGGTGCTCAGGTCCGCGCAGCCTCACGGACGCTCTGCCTCGCTGCGGTTTTCATCGCGCGGCTTCACTGACGCACACCGACGGGCACATGCATGTGTGTGTGTGCGCGTGTCCGTGTGTGCACACGCCCGTAGGTGCACAGGGTTCAGAGTATCTTCCTACCAAATTGGCCGCTTTTTTGTTTTTTTACCCCTCACCCCAGGACACGCCAAGGACAAGCTTGGAGAAGGGAGGGAGAGAGGAACACTGACCGGCCGCCTTCCCGACGGTCTCCAGCTGGGGACCAAGCCCGCACCCAGACGCTTGCCCTGATCGGGAATCGAACCCGCAACCTTTTGGCGCCCAGGACGGTGCTGGACCCACAGAGCCCTGCAGCTGTGCGCGGCTACTTTTTAAATGATGGACTATCCCTCCCTCCGCCCCCAGTAACACTTACACCCTCGTGAAACATTGTATCCGTCGCACCAGCCTGAGCTCTCTCGCCAGCCCCTCCCTCCCTGTGGCTCCAGGCCCCCGTCTGGGGTCATTCTCTTTGCCTGGGGGGGCTCCCGAGCCATCCTTGGAGGCAGCGCCCCCAAAGTGAGGGCTCCTGGTTTGGGTTCCACCTTCCTGTCTTTGTTTGCGGTAAAACACGCGCAAGCTTTCCTGCCTTAACCACCTTAAGTGCAGGGCTCGGGGGCATGAAGCACATTCACACTGTGCAGCCGTCACCGCCGCCACCTCCAGAACTTCCCGTCTTCCCAAAGCGACCCTCTGCCCCCCT